ACCTCCAGTGAGGAGACCAGTGGTGAGGACAGCTTAAATCTACTCTTCACTTGCCATGCCTGCAGCCACTGTGTCTACCCTGGTGCCTGTTTCTCATTTGTACTGCACAAAGGCAAGGTCAGTGGTGAACAATGGCCCTGGCTGTGTGAGCTCTAAACCTGGGCCCCCCTTCATGGTTTCCTGGGTTCTTGCACTCCTGAGGTCCTCTCTGGTTCTTGCACATTAGAGGTTTTTTCTAGCCTAGTTTTGAAGGAACATTACATTGAGATCTGATATTTTGCTGAATTTTTTCTGTGTATGAGAGAAAGAGCAAGAGAGTGAGATTGTGTGATACTCACATGTGGAAGTCGACCCTTTGGCTGAGTGGCACTTCCTCTTGTAACAGATCATACACCGTTGAGCAAAGTGGAATCATATTTTGCTTTGCTCAATGAGCAATGTGCTTCCTGCCTCAGATTGCAAATTGGCTGCTTTCTTATTATTTCAGTGCTAGTTCTAGTCTTGCCCATTGGGAAATGCCTCATGTACCTTTGAGCATAGCCAAAGAAGACTTGTGTTCTTGCTCGTGTGTCTTCTGTGCCTACCCCACATCACAAAGAGTCGACTAGCAGAGGTGGGAGCAGACGTGGCACCAGGAGTCATGTGAGCTAAGTTCTGCTCTGAGAACTAAATAACTCCTACTCTGCTATTCACTGAGCAAGTCTGAGCCTTAGATTTCCCAACTGCAAGATAGGGACAACAATGGCACCCACATGGCTCTTCCAAAATCGAGTGCTGCCACTACCTTCCACACATTGAGATGCTTTGTGACCAGGCACAGTTCAGCTGGCACTGACCAGAAGGCTGGGCCTCCTCAAAGACCCTCAAAATATTTGATTTACATGATTTAGGTCTCTCCCTTTCTACCTTGTCACACACCTTCCATGTGTATCCCTCAAAGCAAGAGTCTTGGTTTTGCTGCATTCTGGGGCACCTCCAAGATCATTCTAACTTGTGATGTTGTGTTTGCCTAGAGATGTCCCCGTCGACCAGCCTTAAATCCATAATGAAAAAGAAAGACTATGGCTTCCGTGCAGGAGGTAATGGGACCAAAAAGAACCTTCAGTTTGTTGGGGTTAACGGTGGGTAAGCATCGCTCATGAAGTCCAGACTGCCCTCCATACTACCTATGCTGCTGTTGTCCTTAGCACTCTCTTTTCCTGGGGAAAGCATCTGGTTTTCGTTCTTCTTCAAGGGAATTAATCTCAACAGCCCTTTAAAACTCTGTCTCGGGTTTGCATGTGTTTGGCTTCTTGCCAGCTATGGTGGTCTGTTGGATTCTGTGCTTTTAATATGTCTTAGCTTTAGTGTCCCCCGGGCCAGGATTCCAGGTGGCTTCTGGGAGTTTGGTGGGAGGGAGTCAGAGGTGGGGGCATGGCACATGGGCCCTTTAAGGAAGACATTTAACCTGAACCACAACACTGAAATGAGAACAAACTCTTAATTTGTTTAACTTCAAATTTCATCCATTTAATTTTTTTCTGTCTTTTACTAACTTACTGCAAACCAAACCAATGTTTTTTAAGATAAAGAAAAACAGCCAATGTCTGTTGACTCAGAACATGATCCAAACCTTATATATTCTAGAGAGTAAATCACTGGATTTAGAATATTTTCTAAATTGGTTATTCAACAAACATTTATTAAATATCAACAATGTGTTAGGTAGTGGGGATAAAAAAAAAAGTTGAATAAATCAGGGTCCCTGCTTTTAGCTCACAGTTTGGGTATGGGCAGAGATGGGACAAGAAGTAAAGAGAAAATGCTGATATGCTGAGATGGATCCAAATAGAGACGGAAGCGTAGGTTGCTGTGGAAGCCCAAAGGAGGGACACCCGACCCAGCCACCAGTGGTGGGCCCAGCAGGCTGCCCAGAAGAGGGCGGAACCCCTCCTAATTTGGATCAGACCACAAGGAAGACACTCGATTCAAACAACAGTGACATCACTGTTGCACATTCTGGGAGGGAAATGTCAGAGATGATGAAATGGGATGTCATAGGAGAGCTGCTGTCCCCACTCCCGCTAATGTCAGACTCTGTGGCCCAAGAAGAACGCATTTTCTTTGAGCTTTCACCAGATCATGTACAAAAAAGGAGGATCATCTTAGTCTCAAAGTCTAAAGCAGGTCCAGTCTCTCCCCTGCTTATGCACCCCAACAGTTCCCGCTCTGTACCAAACCTGGCAGTCCAGCTCATAGCTGTAGCCTGCCTCATTCCCTAATGCAGCTACTGCCTTTCTTCCCTCAAATGTGCTGAGTCAGGTCCATCTTCAGGGGCCCATCTGCTGTTCCTCTCCCACAGAGTCCTCAGTATTTTTCACTCTAGTGCAATGGTCCTCAACCTTGGCTGCACCTTGGAAATCCCGGGGGAGCCTTAAAAAATACCAGTGCCCAGGTTCCCTTCCTGATGACTCCAGTTTAATTAGTATGGAATGCAGTACAGGTACTGGGAATTTTAAATACCCTCAAGTGATTCCAATGTGCAGCCAAGGTTTAAAACTTCCGCTGTGATTAAAGTAGTCCCTCTTCCCATCACTCTAGCCCATGGCCCTTTATTATTTTATTCAATGTTCAATATTTACTATCTGAATATATTGTGTGCATGTTTATTTTCTGCCTTTCTCTACTAGAATGTAAGCTCAAATAGGACAGGGGCTTTGGTGTAGCATTTTAGAACAGTGCCTGGCACATAGTAGGTGCTCAATAAATTTCTGTTCAATGAATGAACTTCCAGGTGAAGTTTTTATGGAAACAATTTAAGACCAGAACTGCTTGGTAAACATATTATGTCCCCCCACTCTCTTAATCACAAAAGTCAAAGGTTATTCCAAGCACAACAGAGGAAGAAATATCTGGGGTTTAAATAAGACAATACGAACATACCAGGGAACAGGCTGGGCTTGCAAACATAGTGAACATAGCAACCATCATTCAGAGAAAGGGCTTGAGAGGGTTCAGTGGAAGCCATGGCCACTGGTCTCTGTGGCAGTGTCCAGTGGCCCTAGAGCCTGAAATCTTCATCCAATGGAAGTCTCCTGTTGACCATCAGCAGGGGGATCAATAAATCTTCGAGGACTTTCCTCCACAGTCTCTCATCTGCCATCTCAATAGAGTTGCATAAAATGGAACATAAGGATTATTGCTGGTGAGGGAGGACCATGGGTCTAGTTATAGCCCACGCCCTCACTTTTGCTGTTCCAAGCAATAGTTGAACCGGGCTGCAGCTGAGAAAGACAGATTCTATGTTCAGGTATCCTGACTGTTCACAGATACCATGGAACCCTGCTGAGAGGAGACACAGATGGTTCTGCCCTTGTAGGTGTAAGCTGGGCTAAAGGGAAGTCTCACAATCACCCAGAGACGTGAAGATGTGTCAGGCAATTCACAAAATTCAGAGTGGGGGTGGGGGCTGTTTGCCTAGATCTGGGCCCTTCTCTGAACAGGACATTAGGATTCCAGAATCCTGAGAACCTTGTATTGCTTGTCTGGACCATTTGAATGCATTTGCCAGTTAGGGCATGGGCTATTCGTGTGTATGCTGCAAAGAGCTTAGTTAATTATCTTTTCTCCCCAAATGGCCTCTTGTGTTTGAGTCAGAGCTCTTAACAGCACTTTTCTGATGCCAAGGCTCCTAGGAGTCCCATCACCCAGGTCTGCAGGTGTAGAGAATGGAGGGTGTTGTTAGCAAGCTGGGAAGACTTTATCTAAAGTCTACCTAGTTCTCATTCGTGTTAATACGGGCTTTGGGCAGGAAGTGCAGAACAAATGACCTCTCTCTTTTTCCCCAGCTACGAGACCACCTCCAGTGAGGAGACCAGTGGTGAGGACAGCT